AGTCTCTGTGACCCACTAAAGCAAAAAGTGTCTGTAGTCCTTCTTTATTCCTATTCTGAAAATGGAAGAAGTTTTGAAGGCCCCAAAGGGAGACGACCCCTGGGAGTTATGGCCAGGCATGGCTGAGCGATTAATTGCTCTGATGTCACAAGGAGACATTATGAGTAAGTTTCAAAGGTATATGAGAGAGTGGCCACAGCTGGGATTTTGTCCACAAGTACAGGTAGCCCTTGGAGGTGACCTGTTGGACTCCATGATAGTTAGGACTTTTGGTGGTTGGTGGTTGGCAGTTGTTGCTGGCGGTCCTTGGCTATTAGTTCCCTAATTTGGGTTTGTTGTTTTGTCTTGTGTCTGTTACTGATTTTGATTCGTTGTTTTGTTCTGTTAGTTTTATATTTGCTAGCATCCTTGGTTGGTGTTCGTAGGATGCATAGCCAGAGTAGAGAGAGTAGTGTCATGTTGCAGGGGCCCAGGTCCCATCAGAAGGCAGTATTGAGGGAGCAGTATGAGGTCCTGAGGGACATTGGGTTTGGCCGGTTTGGCAAGATCAAATTAGCCCGCCATCGCCTGACTGGGGCAGAGGTGACCATCAAAGTCCTGCGGAAGAAAGGGCAGAACCTCCTGCTCCTCTCCGAACCAGAGATGATGAGGAGCCTAGAGCATCCCAATGTGATCCAGTTATTGCAGGTTGCTGAGACCAACAGAAATATTTACATGGTGATGGAACACACAGGTGGAGGTCGGCTACTGGACCACATCCCACAGGGTGGCATGCAGGAGGAAGAGGCCCGCAGACTTTTCCGGCAGGTAGTGAGTGCCGTGAGCTACTGCCATGACAAGGGCATTGTACATCGAGACCTGAAGCCAGAGAACATCATGGTGGATGCCAGGAGCCATGCTAGACTTATCGATTTTGGCTTCAGTGCCAGGTTCACGCCTGGGCAGAAGCTGCGCCAGTTCTGGGGCACTCTGTCATACTTTGCCCCCGAAATTATCCTGAGGCAAGAGTATGAAGGACCCCCAGTGGACATCTGGAGCCTGGGTGTAATTCTGCATTATATGTTGACAAGGAGGTACCCATTTAGTGGCAACACCTCTAAGGAGATGCTGAGTCAGATCAAGCAGGCAACCTACCGCGACCCTCCCGATGTTTCCTTGGCAGCACGAATGCTCATCCACCAAATGCTGACCCTGGACCCCCAGAAGCGACCCACAGCCAAGCAGATCCTTCAGCACCCATGGATGACAAAGGGTAAGCAGGATTTACCCCAGGATTATAGTGAACCAATCCCCTTCCGCCCAGACCCTGAAATACTGACCACCATGTTTGATATGGGTTACGATCTGCGTAAGACCTGGGTGTCCCTGGCCAAGAGGAAGTTCAACGCGGTAATGGCTACCTACCTTCTGCTCCAGCACCAGAAAAGCCAAGGGGCAGGCTGCATGTTCCAGGGGAAGCCTGTGCTTCCGAGGGTGAAGCCTCGCCCACGCCCTGTGGATCTTTCCCATTCCCCTGTGCTCCCAAAGAGGAGCCCCAGCGAGCCTGCCCTGAGCACCTTCCCCTTGCCCTGTGAGCCTCAGCTGCCTGAGGGCTCCACACAGGCAGGGCAGAAGCACATCAGGAGTGCCAGTGAGCCTGCTCTCCATCTCCACTTGCAGCCAGCAGGGGCCTCCACACCTGATGCAGGCCCTCAGCTGGACTCTGGGCAACCCCAGGCCCACAGAAGGCTCTTGAGGTGGGTTGACAGGAGGATTGCTACCTGTATCCAAGAACTGTGCTGTTGCTCACCAGGGGTCAGCAATAAGTTGGCTCCCATGTAAGAGGGCATAAAGGTGGCAGGTTCATTAAGTGTGGCTCCAGTGAAGGGAAGAGATGACCCAGGCAAAACCAGGGGATAGCCAGAGGACCCTGTGCTCTATGGACACCTTGTATGGGCATCGGATGTGTGGACTCCGAAACAATGCAGGAGCAAGATGTGCCAAGACCTCTGGTTTCTCTGCCCAAGGACCAAGCACCCTGCCCAAGCACCAAGCACCCTTCTGCATCCATCAGGACATCGGGACTCTCCTGTGCCTCCACCTGCAGAAGACATCAGAGACTGCTTCCCTGGGACCCTTCCTCTGCCCTATTCCTCTGTCCTGTCTCCCATTCCCCAGTGATGATTCTCACTAAATTTCAGACAAATTTGCTAATAAAAAAAACTATAAACATTTTGAACAATCGTTTTATTAGCATAGTTTTTTATTTGTAATCACCTCACTCTGGAAACAATCCAAATGTCCCCTAGCAAACCATGATATGTCCATACTGTAAAACGCTCTCAGCAATAAAAGGAGAAGACTTCTGATATAAACAGACATGGATGAAAATCAAATAATTTATGTTAACGGAAATAACATGGATGAAAATCAAATAATTTGATAACAGAAATAAGCCACATTCAAAAGGCTTCAATACTGCATGATTCCATTCATATGGCTTTCTGGAAAAGGGAAAGAAAACCAACCATTGGATGCCAGGGGCTGGCGGGTAGTGTTTAGGGGTTGACTGCAGATATCACAAGGGAATTGTACCTTTGCAGTGCTGGTCCATTGAACACAGGACCTTGTGCATGCAGGGCAAGCTCTCTACCACTGAACTACAGCCCCAGCCCAACTGAGCTACAGCTCTAGCCCAACAGGGGAACTGCTGTGGTTAGGAAACTGTATCTTGATTGTGATAACATGACTACATTAAAAGTAGCAGAACCAATAGCTAGGTGCAGATTTGCACACCTGTAATCCCAGAAACTGGGGAGGTTGAGCAGGAGGGTCACTAATTCAAGGCCAGTGTCAGCAACTTAGTGAGGCCCTAAACAATATAGTGAGAATTTGTCTCAAATTTTTAAAAAAAGGCCTTGGATATATGTCCCTTTTGAAGTAAAGAAACACTTGGTTCAATTCCCAGGACAAAAAAAAAAAAAAAATCCATCTAGAACTATAGACTGGAAAGCGTGAATTTTGTAGTGTGTAAGACTTTATTGGAAAAATGAAAAGAGCCAAGAATAACCAAGACAATTTGTTAAAAAATGAAATTGGAACTATTTCTTCAGTAGATATCAAGAATCATTATGAAAATGATGTGATTAAAGTAATTTATATTGGTTGGAAGAAGAGTAAACTGTTGATAAAAAATAAAGAACGTAGAAAAAGATCTCTGTATATATGATCTTGATAAATCATAGAAGGGGGTGGGGGCTTGTCTTTCCAGTAAGAGGATATGAAATCATTGGTTCACCAGGTTTTTTAAAATGCAATTTATTTCTGCCTAACATCTACAGTGATGAACTCCCTTCTGAAATGTTGTCTAGAAAGTGGAACTTTTTATCAGGAAATCTGATAAACTCCTGGTGACGGTATGACTCCATACAAGATGTGGGGAAACAGTTTAGCATTATTTACCTAAGTTGGAAACACTCATATCCCATGATCCAAGCAATTCTACTCCATGGCAGGAACACACACAACAGAAACGTGACTCCATGTGCACCAAGACACTTGGGAGTTTTTGTAAATGGAGCCCCAATGTAGAAAAGACCTAAATATTTATTAATAATGGAATTTGTAAAAAGTAGGGTTTTTTTTTTTTACAATATTGTCGCATAAACAAGGGGATGAGAAATATACAATGGATGCTTTGGCTACATGGTGGCAAACCTGTCCCTTTCTCTGGGTCATCTTATCCCTCTTCATGGTGTCTGAAGGAAATTGCCTTAAGGGCCCCAATGTTCACTCTTTCCAGCAGTCAAGCTCTTGGTCATGGGACTTGGAGTTCCCCTTAAATAAAAGGTGCAATGGATCTCTTCCTGTAGAACCTGGGCTTGGCTCTGTGACTGTCTCTGGTCAGTAGAAAGAGATGCAAATGAGAAGGGGCCAGTTGTGTGTGCAGGCCTCCTGAGGCATCCTGTGTCTTTCTTATCCTACACTCGCCCACCCCTTTGGCCTCTTACGTTTCTAACATCACTATGAGAAAGACATGCCTGGGTGCCCAATGTGACTAAGGTGTCCCAGCCCCACCAGAGCAGCTCTAGTTGTCCCAGGGATACATGAGTAAGCCCTCCTTATCCCCCACCTCAGCTGCATAGCTGCATGTCCCACGCAGGGAGGAAGACATGTTCATGGGCATATGCCCTGTGGTTGGGGGTGGTTCATTTGCTATGCAACAGAAGCCATCTGTGAGGTGGGGCACTGATGAGGTTCAGGGAAGGGTGGATTGTGCCAAGCAGAGGCAGGGGAGAGGAAGAAGGGCTGCTGGAAAGAAATGAACAGCAAAGGCCACCAGTAGTCCCACGTGCGGGCCAGGAGCCAGGAGTCCTGGACCCAGGTAGGGTGGTGGACCTGCTCTCCCTTCCACCCTGTTGGCTATTTTTTATTTTTATTATTTTTTTTGGAAAAACAAGGCTCAACGGAAGAAATCCATAAAGAGGGATGTAGTGCCCCAACCTGGAAGATCCCCCAAACCCTGCTCTCAACCAGAGCCCATTCCCAGCAGCAACCACAAGTTATGTGCACACCCCTCCTGACATTTGCCTGTGTCCACATGCACACCCATTCATACCTCCTTCCTTCAAGGTTTTAAAAAATTAAGCCATGAGCTATTTATTATATTGGGGTTTGAGCTTTGTCACTTCACAACACATCTTAGAAACCTTCTCAGCTTGTGCACAGAGACCTACGTTGTTTGTTAAATTGTCTCATTTGTATCCCATGTGGAGGTGCCAGCATTGACCTCAGGGTTCCTCTAGGCGTGGACACTTGAGTTCCTCTGGCTTTTCTCTACTGTCTGTGAGCCTTTGGGCACACTGGCAATCATTAGTGCAGGACCCATTCCTATCAGAGATTTGGTGGGGTCAAAGGGTATGTCCTGAAAAACACAGACATATTGTTCCACTGTGATCTAAAAAAGTCCTGTGGATGTGCACTCCCAGAAGGTGGGTGGGAAACCCAACATCACTACATTCTTGTTGACGTCAAAAAGCTTTGGTCTTCAGAAATGTTTCTGAGTCCTGGGGAGGTAGCTCCCTGCTGGAGCACTTGACCTACACCCATGCTTGAGGCCCTGTGTTCGCCCCAGTGCCAAAAAGCAGTTGCAAACTCTCCCAGTCTGCTAGAAACAGATGTGAGTTCACTGGTATTTTGAATGTGAAACTTCTTGGATTAGTGTTAAAATGTACAATTATTTTTTCATGTTTATTGCCTACTAGTGTTTCCCCTAAAATATCCTTTGTCCATTTCTCTTTTATTAATTTGTGAGGCGCTTTATCTGTGAACTCTCTTGTGGTGAATATTGGCACTGTGTCCCCCCAGCCTGCCAGATCAGTCTCTTTTAATGTTCTTCTGGGCTCTTTCTTCACAGGGAAGTTTCTACACTGTGTGTCGTCCAGTCTGTTGTCTTCTCATTTCTGGCTGCTGGTTCCTGCTGGGGATGGCTGCGCCCTTGACTGATTGCACTGCATTTTCCTTTTCCACTCTCTCATATGGGCCTGGGTCCCAGGGATTCCTCCAAGTGCACAGTATCTCCACTAGAGAAATAAGGAAAGGAAGGTCAAGCAGGATCAGTGACATATCTGGGTCACACAGTTTCTTGTTACTTGACCCAGAGCCAGAAGAAGATCGCCAGGGTCTCAGGCCCAGGTAGGGGGTCTCCACTTCCTACCTCTGAGATGATCTGGTCAATGACATGTCCTGCAGTGCACAAGCATCCTGATGTCCCCTGCATGCTTACTGTTGCTGGAAAGCTGTTAACAGGTTTCCTCAACAGAGGCAAGACCTGCCTCTCCATGGCCCTGCCTGTCTTCCCAGAGCCACACAGTGGACCTTCAGTAGCCCAGATCCCTGTCTCCATCAGGCCCTCAGCAGATTTAGGCAGGATGAGAAGCAGCGATCCCAGATTGACACAACCCTTTCCTGTGGCATAGGCACTTTGAGAAAGATTTGCAAGGTCGCCCAAGGAAACAAACTCTGACCCAAGTGTGTTGGCCATGTCAGGCTTCTCTACATATGGACAGCACATTCCTCCTATCCCTGTCTGGCTCCTGGTGCCTTCATACCCATGTAATGCACCTACCTGCATGCCCATGACCTGGGATCCTCAAGGGTTGTGCTTCCCCCACCCCGAGAGTGGAGGAGACCCAAGCCAGAAGCCTGGTGCCCAAGGCCCTCCTGGTCTTCTTCTACTTGTGACCCTGCCTGGTACATGGAAGCTCAGTGATTGCCAGGTAAAGGAATCAATGCCTAAACTGGTGAATGAGTGACGAGAGAGTAGAAGGAGACCTCCACACTCCAAAACCAATCCATTTGGTAAATACTCTATAGATTGGGCCTTGATCTGATCCCAGGAAAGTCCAGGCTCAGAGCTCTTCCCTGCATGCAGAGCCTGAAAATGTCCCATGGAATGGCAGGAGTGGCTGGGCATCTCTGTCTTCACAGGTGATGCCTGAGTTTCTGGAAGATCTCCACCCATTCTCCAGAGAGATGTGAATACTCATCTTCCTATGAGGCTATTCCTCTGCCCCATTATTCCTATCCTATGAAGAATCATATCCTCCATCCTTCTGGACTGGAGAAATGATTTGTGAGCAAAGCTCCCTCTTCTCCATTCTTTGGCCACAGAATAAAGTTGTTCCTTCCTCAAACTCATGTTTCTCATTGACATTTCTATGGCATGAGCCTCTAAACCTGGGTTAGGTCACTTTTCGTGTGACCCTGCCTAGTGGGTACACTCTTGGTGCCAGGCTCTAGACTGAGCTCTTAACACAAGTCATCTTATTGATGCTCACAGCTACCCTAGGGGAGAAATATAATTATCCCATTTAAAGATGAAAAACATAGGCTCAAAGGTGGTAAATGACCTTCACCAAGTCATGAAGCTGGCAAATAGCAAAGCTGAGATTTTTGAAATGTTTTAATTTGTTCTAATTAGTCATACATGACAGCAGAATGCATTTCAACACATCTTATACAAACGAGGCACAACTTCTCATTCCTCTGGCTGTACATGGTACATAGTCACACCAGTTGTGTAGTCATAACTCTGTATAGGGTAATAATGTCCATCTCATTCCACTGTCTTTCTTCCTGATATTCCCTCCCCTTCCTTCACTCCCTCTGCCCAATACAAAATTCCTTCATTCTTCTCAGCCCCTCCCTATTATGGATTAGCCTCTGATAAGCAGAGAAATCATTAGGCCTTTTGTCTTTTGGGGGTTTGACTTATTTCACTTAGCCTGACATTTTCCAGCTATATCCATTTACCAGTAGATGCCATAATTTCATTCTTCTATAAGCCTTAAAGATCATGGGAGATATTTCCATCTTCTCAGGTCTTCTTTCATTGCTTTCTTTAGTGTTATTCTGTAGTTTTCATTGCAGAGGTCTTTCATTTGTTTTCTTTTTAGATTGATTCCCAAGTATTTTATTTTATTTCTTTTAGTCCATTGAAAAGGGGGATGTTTTTCTAATTTCTCTTACAGCAGATTCAACAATGATATATAGAAATGCACTGATTTATGGGTATTGATTTTAAATGCTGCTACTTTACTGAATTCATTAATTAGTTCTAGAAGTTTTTGGTGGAATTTTTGAAATCTTCTAAATGTAGAATCGAATCGTGTGCAAATAGTGATTGAATTCTTTTCGTATTTGTATCGCTTTAATTTCCTTGGCCTGTCTAATTGCTCTGGCTAGTGTTTCAAGGACTATGTTGAATAGAAGTGGTGAAAGAGAGCATACCTGTCTTGTTCCAGTTTTCAGAGGGAATAATTTCAATTTTTCTCCATGTAGCATGGTCTTGGCCTTTGGACTTAGCATAGATAGTTTTTGTTGGGATATGTTCTTACTATTCCTAGTTTTTTTAGTGTTTTGATCATTAAGGGGTGCTATATTCTGTCAAATGCTTTTTTGCATATTTTGAGATCTATGAGTCTTGTCTTTAAGTCTATGGATGTGATGAATTATGTTTATTGATTTCCATATGTTGAACCAAACTTGCATCCCTGGAATGAATCCCACTTGATTGTGGTGCACTTTCTTTAAGTATGTTTTTGTATGCAATTTGCCAGAATTTTATTGACACTTTTGTGTATAGGTTCATTACGGATATTTGTCTGAAGATTTTTTTCCTTAGTGTGTCTTTGTCTAGTTTTGATATCAGGGTGATACTAGCTTCATAGAATGAGTTTGGAAGTATTCCCTCCTTTTCTATTTCATGGAATAATTAGAAGAATAATGGTGCTAATTCTTCCTTGTAAGTCTTGTAAAGGTCAGCTGAGAATTCAGCTGTTCCTGGGCATTTTTTGGTTGGTAAGTTTTTGATGGCCTCTTCTATTTCACTAATTGATCTGTTTAAATTGTGTATGTCTTCCTGATACAGTTTGAATAGGTTATATATATCTCTAGAAATTTGTCAATGTCTTTGAAATTTTCTATTTTATTGGAGTATAAATTTTCAAAATAGTTTCTAATTATATTCTAAATTTCCATAGTGTCTATCTTGATATTTCCTTTTTTGTCACTAATTTTAGTAATTTGAGTTTTCTTTCTCTTTCTCTTCTTTAGCATGGCTAATTATTTATCAATTTTATTTATTTTTTCAAAGAACTAACTTTTTGTTTTGTCAATTTTTTTGAATTGTTTCTTTTGTTTCAATTTCATTGATTTCAGCTCTAATTTTAATTATTTCCTATATTCTACTGCTTTTGGTGTTGATCTATTCATCCTTTTTTAGGGCTTTGAGATGTAATGTTAGGTCATTTATTTGTTGACTTTTTATTCTTTTTAATGAAATAGAGTAATGCAATGAACTTTCTTCTTAGCACTGCCTTCATAGTATCCCAGAGATTATTTTTTTAATATTTTGGGTTTTTTAGTTGTAACTGGACACAATACCTTTATTTTATTTTTATGTGGTGCTGAGAATTGAAGCCAGTGCCCTGCATGTGCCAGGCGAGCACTGTACGGCTGAGCCACAATCCCAGCCCTTATCCCAGGGATTTTGATATGTCCTGCTGGTGTTCTCATTTACCACTAAGTATTTTTATATTTCCTCCCTGAGTTCTTCTGCTACCCATTTGTCATTCAATAGAATGTTTTTTAGCCTCCAGGTATTAATGTAGCTTCTTTTTTAAAAAATTTTATCATTGATTTCTCATTTCATTTCATTATAATCTGATAGAATGCAGGGTAGTATTTCCCACCCACTGTGCCTGGCACCTTTCTCCCTGTGCACTTCACAACTCACTGAGCTGAAGAGAGCCTATTCTCTCCAGTTTCTCCAACCTGTGCTCTCCCCTGGGAAATGCCCCCAGTCTCTGGCTTTCCACAGGCCTACCAGGCCCAGACTGGCCCATGCAGACCCAGCTGCAATCTGATGGATCTGGGCCTAAAGTTCCCCAGGCTCTGCCTTATTGCAGTTCCAATATCTCAATGACATTTCTGCTTGCAGGGAGACCACCAGAGATATGCTCACACAAAAGAGTGATCCTCTGCTGCAGTCTGGCTGGGCACAAATCACGAGCCACTGAAGCAGGAACAAACTTTATTTCTAAACTCCACCAGCACACTCCACACACGCTCCCCGGGACTCTCCCCGGGAGCCATGCGGCTCCTCCAAGAACCACCAACCAGAAAAATCCCTCCTCCGGCACTTCCCCAACCAATGGGGACTCTCCGGGAGAACTCCAAAATAGTGGGAGAACTCCAAAGTAGCAGGCCGAGGGGACAGCAGGGATCTAATATACACAACTTAACATAACCATTATTATCTCAATGGCTTGCTGGCATCACCTCTCAACCACTCCTTTCTGGCAAAAATGTCATGCGTCATTCGGACTCGGCTATGGCTCTCCGCAATCCTCCAAAGAAGCAGCCAGAGGGCAGCCACCAGCATACCCAAGAGAAAGACCTCAGATGCAACAAGACCTAACAATAGTTCTCCAGATCCTGGCAGTTGTCCCCAGAGTGAGGTGGCTGCCCCATGAGTTGGCAGTGGTGGCGTGGTAGCAAACCTGCAAGCCCAAGGCCCTAGACTCCCAGGAGTTGGCCGGGGTCCCAAGATTGTGGCAGTCACATGTAACCAAATCTATGGGTACCCTGATAATGGACTTCCAGGTGGCAGTGGGCAATGGGCCGGTAAAAGGTCCCCAAGTGGACAAACATCCAGCAATTGAACAGTGATTTTTGATATTGGGCTTCCAGGCCATGACCAGTATCCCAAGATGGAGGCTGCTGCTTGAGATGGCTATGGCATTGGGTGCCAGTTGGTTCACTTTTGAAGACATCACTTCTCTCCAAGTCATCTCAGTAGTGGCTATGCTCTCATATGTCACATGTTTTATTGCCAGAAAGTGGGCCTGGCTGGAGTTAGTCTACAGTTGGTAGATGGAGATTAACAGGCAGAGAACCCTGGGGTGAGGTTGCCAAGCTGGAAATCTCCAATTGGAGTACTGCCAGGCTAAGAGTGGCCGGTAGTGTGCTAGAAAAACTTTTTGGAAAGCAGCTCATGATGAATGCTACTGACTTCACTGGGAACTGACTGGGGCATCAAAAGGACTCACTAGAAAGCTGCCAGGAAGCTACCTGTGGGGTAAGCTGCTGGATATTCTGGGAAACTGGATAAGGTTTCCATGGAACTTGGTAAGAAGGGTTCCTTGAGGGTGCCTCTGAAAACTTCCCGGCATGAGCTCCACTGGATATGTCTTATGCCAAATGTGTAGTGTGAGATAAAGACATAGAGAAATCACACCAGAACCGGAAAGAAGCTATTTTTCTTGGCAGCATCTGTCCTGAAACCCTCACTAGCAAAGGAAAAATGTATACAAAACCTGTCTCCAGTGTCCTGAGCAGGGCAAAGAGCCAGGAGACTAAAAATTGGTATCCGCAACAGCGTCCATGTTAAAACTCTCCTCCTTCTCATTTTTATTGTTCCTAGGCTAAAGTCTTAAGTGTTCCATACATGTTTGTTGAATAAATGTATAAACAGATAAATACTTCGACCCTTGCATTATCCTGTAGCTGCCATTAGTGTTGTCTTGGCAGCCTACTTCCCACAAGGCAATGGTATGGTTGAACTTTTTGGTCCCTTTGTATTTGGGTTCAGTCAATAAATTATGAATGAAAGTGAGGCGAGCTCAGAAATGTACTGGTAAATGTATAACTGGGTGATTCGGGGGAGTGAGGGGTGAGGGGTTCTTTATTTGTAGTACTTACTTATTTCTACAATGCAAATACTACCCCCATGATTTCTTTCAAATTACCAATATAACCCAGAGTTGGGAAGAGATGCACACATTTGGCTTTTGCAAGCTAGTATTACCAATCTGTACTTTACCACACCACGTAAGTGCCAAAACATTTAATTACTGGTGCAGATCCTCTAGAACTTTCTTTCCTTTGTCACAAAAATTGTTAAAATTTAAGATAGTAACACCTCCATCAGGCTGGATCTCTGTGTGAACATAGGGAGCAGAATTTCCTTCCTCCTGGTAATTAACAAATCATATGAATGAGAAATAAACATTTGTTTTAGTAATAAGAATTCTGGGGTCATTTGTCTCTTTAGCATACCCTAGTCTAACCTGACTGATAACCTCTTAACTGGTTTGATTGAAGTACTTTACACTCTTTCTAAATAGTCTTT